GGGTTGCAGGCTAGTCAAATCACGAAATATCTGCGCCACCGGTAGAGAGTAGGAATTGGAACATGGTGAGTTTTTACCGACTTCAAAAAAGGAGGAGGTACTATGTTCGGCTGATTGATTTTCTTATTGTTTGTTCGCGCAGTACTCCGCCATTAGGAATGGATTTTCAAAATTCTTGTTTTGTGTATACTCCCGAGATGGTCCCATTTCTATGAGGTCAGGCAGATCATAATCTGTCAGAATACCAGCTAAACTTGCTGAGCTGATCTTGCTCATAATGGGAGATCCATAATACCTATGTAGGTATCCCCTTACGTGGTATCATCTGCCATCTACGGATAACGGTGAAGTTAACGCAAGACAGTCCTAATTAAAAACATTAAGATTAATATTACTAGGGTTTTTAAAAAAAAATCTCAAAATAGCACTTAGACTGTAATTATGCCCGATATATTTATGGCAATAGGCTCACCCCTATTACATGGGACTCATAATATAAATAGTGAAAAGTGGGTGTTACATTGTTGTACAGTGATTGAAAGTGTCGTAACATGCATCTCTGCCTACCCCTTCGGGGATAAAAGTGATGTTACGTTTAAGATTAATAAAAAGAACAAACAACAGTTTAAAAATAGATCACATAAACAAATAAAATCTCCAATTTCATTCCATTTTCAAACAAACCGATCGCATTGTCGATGAACAATCTCAATCTATATACCTACAATTAATTTATCATTCATTCATTTCATTCGTTCCCATTCACTCGGTCTGACTACTAATTGACAGATTGAATGACATTAGACATGTCTTCGCGATTGTTTGAGGACGTTCTCCGGTACCTATTTGAATTATTTATAAAAACAATAAAGATTGCCTTTTAGAAAATGTTTCGGAAGCCACATTTTATATCGGTTTAGCTGTGATTTTATTATGCAAAATCTTTATTTATATGGGGATATTTTAGCTTACTAATTTATATTTTGCGGTAACTATCGCCAGTTTCAATTATCGTTAATTATGGGACCGAAGAAAAAAATACAATACTCTGGGTCTAGGTGTCATGTGTATGTGAACTTGTATGTTTGTAAACGCACCCACGACACAGGAGATAATCCTAGTGTGGGGCAACGTTTTTTTTTTTAAAAAACAAAAAAAAAAAAAACAAATACATATTGAGTGTACTGTACTCTTCTGCCTGAAATGAATTATCACTACATAGTATAAAACAAAGTCGCTATCCGCCGCCTGTCTGTCCCTATGTATGTTTAGATCTTTGAAACTACGCAACGGATTTTGATGCTGTTTTCTTTAATAGATAGAGTGATTCTTAAGGAAGTTTTATGTATATCGCACCCGTGCGAAGCCGGGGCGGGTCGCTAGTGAAATTATAAAAAATGAAATAGGTATAATTATACCATCATACAAGCGATATTTTTTTTTTGAGTTGGAAAAATCATCGAATGACTGCTCCCGCCTGGGTGAGGCGAGAGGGAGTGTCAGACTTTTACTGACTAAAAATCACCCCGTTCCTACTCCTGCTCTTCGAGCCGGAGCCCCGGTTACCCGTTAGGCATTCCGCGGCGCCGTATACAAGCGATATCTACTACTTATATCTAAATGCAGTATCCCCAGAATAATGGTAAGTTGCAAAAACCGATCTTATGGGGTAGAGGGCAAACGAGAACACAGATCACATCATCACCAGACTCCATCCGCAACACTAGAGGAGTTATCGTTGCTAGCCTATTAAGTTTCGAATACTAACTACAAATAGAAATGTGACTAAATCTTTTTTTTTTATATTATTATTCAAGATTCAAGATTCATTTATTCATTGTAAAACATAGGTACATTATAAGTTCTTATGTAATATGTTGAGAGCGCTATGTTTTGCCTCTAGGGCGTACAATACATGCAATATACTTAATTAAAACAAGGATTTGACACAGATTTATAAACAATAAACAGTAAACACATCACTACAATTACATAATCTTGACCATTTATCTCGTTAAGAATTTGCAATTTCATAGAACATTGACGACTTTTTAAATCAAATGAATAAAATAATGTAAACCACAAAATATCCGCTTTTAAGAACATTAGAGATTTTCAATGATGGCATAAATTAAAATTAAATGTCAAAAATAATAATATCAAAATGTTAAAAATGTAAAATTCAATGTCAAAGCGTAAAATTAAAAGTCAATTATTACATTTCAGTACAGTTTAAAATTTCTTATTTGCACCATTAAACCACAGCTGGTTTGTATTGGTGCTCACATTCGCTTAACAAGACAACGTCATACAACGTATACAAGACCGAGAGCATAGTACTGAAGAGACTCCTGTCATATCTGGCAATAAACATTACGTTCCTACCTATGTTTAAAATTGTAAACGCCTTAAACTACGGCGTCACTACTCATTAGAGAATCATTCATCGAATGAAAATAGCTTGAAATTTGGATAGATTTTTATATTTTTTATGGTATAAGCCGGTAAACGAGCTGTCGGATCACCTGATGGTAAGCAATCGGCGTCGTCCATGGACGCATGGAACACCAGAAGTGTTACAAGTACGTAACCGGCATTAAGCATGACTTCACTACTTTTATTCCACAAGATAGGTAGAGTAATATGTACATATTTTTTTTAATGATACAAGCCCGCCACAACCTCCCAAAATCTCTACAGTAGATACAACCATGAAAACACCGGAACACTGTAGTCCGGCGCGTCCCAGGGACATGAACAACTGTCTTGGTTCCCGCAACGAAGTGAATCAGAAGGTATTATAAGATGAGGAAAAAAAACTATAGTTTCCACTTCCCTCGGTGAAGCAATGCATATAACCATTATAACTACTGTTCGCCTGTAATTTTATAAGACCCATATAATAAGGGAACAATCCTATCTCCACACACCGGCCTCAATCCCCATTAATTTATTACCCAATTAATTTAATGACTTGCTAGTAATTATTCGGTACCCAAGAAAAAAGTAATCGCTATGCTACGGTTTTGCTTCCAGGTGAAAGAATCTGCCTGTATTATCCATAAGCTAAAACTATCATAACATCACGCCTTTTTATCCCCGAAGGGGTAGGCAGAGGTGCACATTACGGCACTTAATGCCACTGTACAATGTAACACCCATTTTTCACTCATGTTATGAGTCCCACGTGATAAGGCGTGAGCCTATTACCATATATCGGGCACAATTCCAGACTCCGTTCTACTACTGAGAAATTTATAAAAAACCCAGTAATACTTTGCCCGACCCGGGAATCGAACCCGAAACCCCTTGCCCAGCAGTTGCAATTGCAACCACTCGGCAAACGAGGCAGTCTTCCCTTCCTTCTAACATTATATTTATAACGTAAAACTTTATAAGGATAATATATTATTATGAATATTTTTGCTCTTTAACGCTCCAACTACTAAAGCATAAAGTTACGCACAGAAATAGTTTATAGCCTTCTATCAACCCTCCGCGGCTTCGCACGGGTTGAATATTCATATATTATACATATATAAAACTTCCTTAAGAATCACTCTATCTATTTTAAAAAACCGCATCAAAATCCGTTGCGTAGTTTTAAAGATCTAAGCATAGGGACAGATAGATGGCATATAGCAACTTTGTTTTATACTATACTAGCGGCCCGTCCCGGCTTCGCACGGGGGGACTTAAGATTTTTTACATAGTTTTACGTTTTATTACAATTCATCTATAGAGCATTTTTGTATAACTTTAACTATATGCTCAGCGCACGCCACGGAAGGCCTCAGAAACGATACTTTTCCCCCGTTTTTAAAACATTTTTGGTTACTGCTCCACAACTATAGGACCTAGCGGGATATGACCTAATGGTGAAAAAATTATTGCAATCGGTCAAATACAAATCTTTCCTCTTTATAATATTAGTATAGATATGTAGTGATGATAATTTTTAACCGACTCCAAAAAAGGTGATTCTCTGTGTGACCTGTATATATGTATGTATGTATGTATGTATGTTTGTGCGTGATTACCTCGTGATTGGCTGAACCAATTTTGTTGCTGTTTTTAGAAAAGTGCTTGTTACACTTGAATGTTAATATATTAATTAACTGACTTAATAGAGGAGATTTTTTTTAAGGGGGGAAAGTCATCGAATGACTGCTCCCGCCTGGGTGAGGCGGGAGGGAGTGTCAGACTCTTACTGACTAAAAACCACCCCGTTCCTACCCTGCACGTAGAGCCGGAGCCCCGGTAACCCGTTGGGTTCTCCGCGACTAAAAGAGGAGATTAAAGTCGGTTTTTTAAACGTAGTTTGTGAAAGAGTTATTTTTTCCAATAATGTGGATTTAATCGCTAGTGCTCGAATAATAAGATATAATTATTAGTAATTAGGTAAGTACCTATCTACTTATGACTTAAATCTCGGAGAACATCAAAAAATATTGTCATGCCGTAGAAGTAAGGCTCACGTACATCAAAAATGTATTCTACACCATATAAACGTAAGTACAAAATAATCTAACACGAAAATCCTTTACTTAAACTCTAAACAATTCCAATTCTATTTAATGTACATTACAGACTTCTTATTCAAATTAATTATTTTCACGAAAACAAACGTAAAGTCTTGCAAACGACTTGGAATTTGGAATATATTTTAAGTTAAAGCGTCGAGTTTAGATAAACAACACTTAATTGCGAAGAATACCTGTGTCAGTGAGCCAGGGAATGTACGCCAAGTTACTCTAACATGTGTATTTGAACATATTTCTGTGTATTTCGAAAAACCGTGTAATATTTAAGTAAGTCATTCTTTTCACAATAATCTAACCGATACTATAATTAGGTGTAAATGTTTTCGGTAAAATCCAATTTCCTTAATAAATATAATTTTCATGGCAATTTGTGTATTTAAAAAATAAGTTCCGACAGCCAAGGTTTAATGAAAAATTTAAAAATGTAAAAAAAAATATTAACACTAAAATACTCACAGTGAACAGCGAAACGATTCCCAATTCAAATTTGAAACAAAATAACACAACAACACTATTATGTCAACGAAAAAAAAATCACTTCACAATTTTTTATTCCAAAACTAAATAATCACCAATAATAATAATTTACGTCACTTTCACACTGGGTTACACTTAGTAGCAGAATTACTGTCACACGTAGGTTCGAGGTATCGGAATTACGAGACGCGTATTATTGGTCGGGAGCGCGACTGACGCAGCCTTTCCCGTCGGCGGCGTAAACACGAATGCTCTTTGCGCATGGTTGTACCACCGTACAACGAAACGACGTAACGTCGCAATGCGTTATACTACATTTAAAAAACAGCCTTACACCCTCTGCCGTCGATACAAGCTCTATACACAGCTTTTCTCAACAAAAATTGTGTTTAACTAGGCCTCGTAGACTTCGTTCGTGATCGTGACGTCACTTCTATAGGTCCTGTTTGTAAAAATGCAAGTTTGTGATTGTTTGTTAGTCTTATATCCGAATACTGATGAATGGATTTCTATAGGATTTGGACTGGAAATATATTATACTCTGGAATACCGCATAGTGTTACGATTAAACATCAAAAACCATTAAATAGATTTGGATAGAGTTCTGCATAGAAATAGGTTATGGTCTAGAATGATACAAAAGGTACTTTTCCCAGATTTAATGTATGTTAGTAAGTCGAAACTTTAATAAAATCAAAACAGAGGTCAAACAAAAAGTGTTTATATAGAAAACTAGCTTCTGCCCGCGACTTCGTACGCGCAATCCCGATATTTCCCGTACCCGTTCTTGATTTTCGGTTAAAAGTAAAAAAAAATATTGGGTAAAAAGTCCTAGAGAGTCCTAAGATCCTATCCGTCTCCTGGTTCTAAGCTACCTCCCCGCCAATTTTCATCCAAATCGATATAGCCGTTCTTGAGTTATAAATAGTGTAACTAACACGACTTTCTTTTATATATATAGATTTCCACGTGCCAAAATTGTCTTAATCGCTATTTTCGTTAAGATTTCGCAATTAAATTCAACGTTTACTAGTTCTACTAAAGTAATTAGGTCAATCTACTACTGACTGGATCCATTTGGAAATTATGTAGATATTTGAGATGAGAGCGGAAACTTTCGAGTGATCTTTTAACTTTCAATCGTTAAGTTTAATATTTTAATTTTTGCTCTTCCTTAGCCCAAGAACTTGGCTTTTGAGAGCTAATTATATCATGATGGATTAAAAGCGATAAAGGTTATTGGTCTTTTAAGTATCTATAAATAAAACTAGCAATGTTTGTGACCAAAAAAGATATTCGAAGTGTATTTAATGTGCAAATCGAATTTGTTTTTAAATAGAGCAAGAATGTATTTGTATAGTACAATTTTGTACAAGAATGTATTAAAGCAATGGCTAATTAAAGAAAATTACTACTCAATCCACGAATTTTTGGAAAAAAAACAAATGTAAATCTTTTGGTTTTAAAGAAGAAAATAAATAAGAGCAGTAAGTTTAGTTTATGTACCAAAATTGTAGCCTTCATGTATTTTATTTTAATCTACAATAAAGGTTAAATGTAACCAATTTGCATGACAATAATGGTAAATGTGCTGATCTAATTATAGAGGTATTGTATGTAACATCTATATCATGTACCTACCATATTGAGCAAATAAAGAATTATTATTATATATTAGCTTCTGCTCGCGACTTCGTACGAGCAATCCCGTTTCTACCATTCCCGTAGGATTTTCAGGACTTTCTGTTATAAGATCTCCTGACGATACCAAACACAACAGAATCTGCCAAATCGGTCTAGCCGTTCTCAAGTTATGGCGTGACAACGGAAAACGGGTTTAATTTATATATATATATATATATATAGATAATAATTTAAGCATCTATTTTTAAAGATTGCAGAGTGACTTTCTAAATATTGAAGAAAAAAATACAAAATATTTTTTATGTAGAGTTGTTACTTTTTTTAAAATCCAATTTCGAAAGAGGTCGTACCTAAAAAAGGATTCTAAATCTATTAAAACATTCGTTCTCTGATTGAAATACATCGAAAGATAGACGGAACAACTTTCAAAAAGACGTCGCATTTTCTTAAAAAAAAAGAAGTAGAACCTCTTTTTGTTGTGTTTATTTTTTTTTTTTTTTGTTTGTATATCCCGATGTCATTGCGAGATAAAAAAAATAAGATAATGAAAATGTTGCAAAGATCTAGTTTGAAACGGTTTAAGTTCGTGAGAATAGATTGAGTCCGCCATTGCGCTACAAAATAAGCTAAATTAAATGTGAGCGCCGCTGAGCAGGGATAAGTGGGCGGCGAACGAGCGTGATTGTCAAAATTGACATTTGATTATTTGACACAATTCTGCGGAAATGTTTTGTTTTTGAGAGTCGTTGAGCACCTCTATTCTCTATTTTGAGAGCTACTGGAGATTCGATTATCATCGAAGTTTTACAGAATGCTGCAATTGAAGTAATGTATAATAAACGTTGTACCTAAAGCCATTTTTTCCATGCTCAGATAAATTTTAACTGAGGTATACCTTTGATTTTCTGTCAATTCTTCTATACTAATAACGTTGTTATTGTTGATCGAAGCTAATAACTGTCAAATATCAATTTTATTCTACAGTTAGGAATTAACTGATTATTTTATCAAATATTACGTATAACCTGGATGTTTTCAAGGCCCGAATGAATAGGTTACTTATGGGACAACATGCTCCTTCGTAGACCGCATCATGGCCACTAGGCAAAACGGCGGCCCATCAAATGTAAAAAACAAATTAGCACAGACAATATGATGTTAAGTAATTACGTATTAAGTACATTATTTAATTAAACCGTATATTTATAAGCTAGAAATATCTAGCCAGCTAGAATTCAAGCTACAAAACACTTTATAAGCTACAAAAATGGAATACCAACGAAGTATACTTGAAAAATATAAACTGAACAACTTCTTCACATGTAGATTCGATAAACAGAACAATTGGTAAATTAAATTAGTTTGTTACAACACTCACATTGTTGGTAGTGTTGGTATTCATTAGTGTTGTATAGGTACTAAAATTACGAATCCAGATACGAATACAAATATGTTATAGTTACACACGGCTACACATCGAGCTTTACATAACCAGTATAAACATTTA